CACTGCAACCTCATCCTGTGGGGTTCAAGTGATTGTCCTGCCCCAACCTCCAGAGTAGCTGGGATTACAGACACCCACACCATGCCCATCTCATTTTTGTATTTTTAATAGAGAAGGGGGTTTCATTATGTTGACGAGGCTGGTCTCGAACTCCTGACCTCAGGTGATCCACCCGCCTCGGCCTCCCAAAGTGTTGGAATTACAGACGTTGTCACCATGCCTGGCCTCATTTTTCTATTTTTAGTAGAAACAACGTTTTACCATTTTGGCCAGGATGGTCTTCATCTCGACCTCGTGATCTGCCTGCCTCAGCCTCCCAAAGTGTTAGGATTATAGGTGTGAGCCAATGTACCCAGCCCCTTTAGAGAATTTTAATCAAAGCTGTGATAAAATTTTACTCTGTTTCAAGCACATGAGGTGTATGTTATAAAAAGAAGGTAACTGGGGTTTCTAATGATGGATGGGGAAGACAAGGTGAAGCAGAAGTCATCTATTAGAAGCTGTTTGTGGTTTTTTGTTTTTATTTTTAGACAGTCTCCTTCTGTTACCCAGTCTGGAGTGCAGTGGTGTGATCACAGCTCACTGCAACCTCCACCACCCAGGTTCAAGCGATTCTCCTGCCTTGGCCTCCTGAGTAGCTGGGACTGTAGGTGCTCATCACCATGCCCAGCTAATTTTTATATTTTTAGTAGAGACAGGGTTTTACCGTGTTGGCCAGGCTGGTCTCAAACTCCTGACCTCAGGTGATCCACCCACCTCGGCCTCCCAAAGTGCTGGGATTACACGCATGAGCCACCATGCCTGGCCTGTTTGCAGCCTTTCATTCTGCTTAAGTTCACAACTATTTCCAAGCAAGTCCAAGTTGGGTAGGGACTGGTGAGAGCTAAAGCAGTTATTCTTCCCACAAGGCTTCGTATGAAAATGTGCGTAAGAGCTCATGTCAACCCTGGATCTATTTTGTCCTACAGGAAAAGAAGAAGCAGAGGCTGCTCTAGAGAAGGGGGAGGAGAGTGCTGACTGTCACATGTGGTAATAACACCCTGCAGTGTTCTGGGAAGAGCCAGCGAGGGCTATGGCAAAGCCTGGGCCACAGAGGCATTTTCCAAAGGATCCAGGAGAGGGAGCTCTGGCTTGTATTTCTACATACCCTAGTCTAGCCCTAGTCAGAGACAAGGGAAGTTTCTGGTGGGGGAGGTGACTTGGGAATGAGGCAGGGTCGGGGAGTGCAAGCTTTTTCTGATGGAACTTGGAGAAATGAACAGCTTTTTAAGAGTCATCCTAGCTAAAAAACTGAAGTTCTTGGCTCTCAGGAGGCTGGGACAACCTGCAGCTGCTCTATCCCGCACAACTCTTCTTGCCCCTGTGTGTGATCCCTGGCTGGTGGTACTTTGGCTTCTTTGCTTGATTTGCATGAGGAAAAGTAGATGTGAGCTCAACTCTTGGGAGTTCAATGGTCAGCTTATTAGGTTAAAAAAAAATTATCCCTTTTTGTGGTCTCATGTGACGGAAAGTTTGGTCATTTTACCTGGGTCAGAGCAAACTTAGGTCCTGGGGTCTGGTTCCAGCACCTGAGTTGTAGTGAAAATGTTCCTTTCCCACCGCCACCCTTGCTTTCTATATCTCCACCCTCAGATTGTGAGCTAAGTGAGAGGCTGTCTTTCTCTATCTGTTGCTGAAACTTGTCTCTGCAGGGATTCTTTTCAGAGGCCAGGGAATTGTTTTTTGTGTGTCATTGCTTCTCTGGGCTTCCAAGGATGAAAACTGGCCCCACACTTTCTTAGCTATTCCTGAGGAACAGATGTTTGCATTAAACATGGAAATGAGCCTCCAGAAGTGTCCGATATCCCACAGATACTTAGCATATATGAAAAAGCAACTTGGGCTGGTTTACTCATCTAATGTCAACTGTGCTGCTTGTAATAGCTAGGGGGATGGGGGAGTAAGAGTTTGTTTCTGAGGACAGAAGATGGGAAGCTGGCTAGTTGGTTCCCCTTGGGAAGGGGGATGTGGGGGAAGAGGGCAAACATAAGTCTTTCTTCCTCTGGTTGATGGTCCCCAGGTTAACGTTAGAAATTTCTAGAACATCCCCTCCCAATGTGACTGTCCTAAGAAATTGCTTTCCAAGTCCCATCTGTATGCTTAAAGGCTATTGAGACTCACTTTTTTGTCTGTTCAGAAGATAAGCAATATACTCAGGTCTCTTATACTTTTATGCTGGTTATTATTTGATGCTTTTTAATTTTTTTTTTTTTTTTTTTTGGGAGATGGAGTTTCGCTCTTGTTACCCAGGCTGGAGTGCAATGGCGCAATCTTGGCTCACCACAACCTCTGCCTCCTGGGTTCAGGCAATTCTCCTGCCTCAGCCTCCTGAGTGGCTGGGACTACAGGCACGCGCCACCATGCCCAGCTAATTTTTTGTATTTCTAGTAGAGACGGGGTTTCACCATGTTGACCAGGATGGTCTCGATCTCTTGGCCTCATGATCCGCCCGTCTCGGCCTCCCAAAGTGCTGGGATTACAGGCTTGAGCCACCGCGTCCGGCTGCTTTTTAAATTTTTATAAATGCCTTTGGCAGGACTCTTTATGAGGGGAAATTTTGACTGAGAACTTGCCTAAATATTCTTAAGTGTAAGATATTTACTGTGGTAGTCCCAGCTTTTTTATACCTAGAATACTTTGGAGACTTTTAAGCCTACCATGATCTACTAAAGAATACTAATTAGGGCCAGAGGTCTGTGAAGAGAGGGGATTACATACAGATTAAAATTAGGCATTTTCAGCTCTAGTTGAGGGTAGAGGGACAGGGGACAATGCCATTAGGCTGTTGGTGGGACATCATTCCTTGCAGTGATGCTGCTTAGTCCTTGTCCCTGAGCTTGCTGCTTCCCCCTAGGTATGCAGTGCTTTGTGGTCAGCTGGCTGAGCATGAGAGCATCCAGAGGCGCATCCAGAGTGGCTTTAGCTTCAAGGTGAGGACAGGTTTCTTCCTTGTACTGGCCTATCCCAGACTCCCTGCTCCTTTCTGGCTCCCTGCCAAAGGCTTTTCTACAGCCTCAGTGGCTTGCCTTTCTCTTTTTTTTTTTTTTTTTTTTTTGAGGCATCTCACTCTCTTGTCCAGGCTGGACTGCAATGGTGTGATCTTGGCTCACTGCAACCTCCTCCTGGGTTCAAGCAATTCTCTTGCCTCACCCTCCCAAGTAGCTGGGATTATAGGCATGTACCACCATGCCCAGCTAATTTTTGCATTTTTAGTAGAGACAGGGTTTCACCAGGTTGGCTAGGACTATGACGACTGGTTTCGAACTCCTGACCTCAGGTGATCCACCTGCGTTGGCCTCCCGAAGTACAGGGATTACAGGCATGAGCCACTGTGTCCGGCCCTCGCTGCTTTTTTAGCAACTCTCGTGTCTGATGTTAGTTTACGTTTTCCCCTTAGGAGCATGTGGACAAAGCCATTGCTCTCCAGCCAGAAAATCCTATGGCTCATTTTCTTCTTGGCAGGTGGTGCTATCAGGTAAGCTGCATTTCAGGGCTTGACATAATGGTCCTAAATGCCTTCTGGCACTGATTTCTTTGCCATAAAGAACAAGATCTTTGGTCTGCTCTGGCTCAGCTGCCCTTTCCTCTGAATGCTCATTACTGGTGGTTGGACCCAGCCCCTTTTGACCCTGTCTTCAGTACATTTTTAAAGATTAAGAAAACCTTTAAAACCTCATATTCACACCTTGATCTTTTGGTGGCAGGTCTCTCACCTGAGCTGGCTAGAAAAAAAAACTGCTACAGCCTTGCTTGAAAGCCCTCTCAGTGCCACTGTGGAAGATGCCCTCCAGAGTTTCCTAAAGGTATCAGAGAGGGGTGGGTGGCAGGCAAAAACACCAGGGTAACCTTGTTTTTTCCTGGGAGGTGGCAATTTTGTGTTTGCTTGTTCTGTGGGAAAATCAGAATCACTTGCACACTTTATCAAAAATACAGATTTCTTCTTCAGACCCACTGAATCAGCCACATGGTTGGGGACTGGAAATCTCTAATGAACTTCATTCAGCCTGATTAGAATATAGGAGCCTCTTACTGAAATATCTTTGTCCCTTTTCCCAGGCTGAAGAACTACGGCCGGGATTTTCCAAAGCAGGAAGGGTATATATTTCCAAGGTAAACTCACTTGTCTACATAGTTCTGGGAACTCCTGAAAGCACACATACTCATCCCCTTCTAGTCTCCTGATATTATTTCTCTCAGGTTTCACTGTTGTCTGTTTTCAGTGCTACAGAGAACTAGGGAAAAACTCTGAAGCTAGATGGTGGATGAAGTTGGCCCTGGAGCTGCCAGATGTCACTAAGGAGGTAATGCTTTTTAAATACTCCCTGTCTGGGTGGATCACCTTAGGTTGGGAGTTTGAGACAAGCCTGATCAACATGAAGAAACCGTGTCTCTATTAAAAATACAAAAGTGGATGGGTATAGTGTTGCATGCCTTAATCCCAGCTACTCCGGAGACTGAGGCAGGACAATCGCTTGAATCTGGGAGGCAGAGGTTGCAGTGAGCCGAGATTGTACTCCAGCAGCCAGGGCAACAATGTCTCAAAAAAAAAAAAAAAGGAAAAACTGCCTATCTTCACTGAAACATCATGTGACATTTTTTAGAAAAAAATCTTTCCTAAGGAAGGAAACACAGTCTACCTCTAGGGGACGAGACAGATTTCATGGGCTCCAAGCTATCCTGAGAAAGTAGGAAAAAGAATGTAACAGAGCTCAGGAAGGAAGCGGAGGGCCCCTGTTCTCAGATTGCACTGGTTTGGGAAAATGCTGGTTTAAATTTTGAGTCCTAAATTTGTTCTTTGTTTCCCTAGGATTTGACTCTCCAGAAGGACCTGGAAGAATTAGAAGTCATTTTAGGAGACTAATCACATTTCACTGGCCTTCATGCCACTATTTAAGAGGGAAAAAAAAGTCAAAGCTTTTTTTCCTTAAACCTTCTTGAGATCAGGCAACTACTCCAATCTGACTCCTGGGTCTGACTGCTACCCACTACCATTTCCCATCAGTTAATTTATTCTAACCTCTTACCTCATCTAAAATTGGGGAAGTACTAGTGGCCTGGGTTTCTGTTGTTCTCGCCCTTGAGTGATCTCTTGGGGAAAAAAAAATCAAGATGCACACCTGCCTCAGGATTACACATGGGTAGAGGCTGCTAGACCTGAGACCTTCCAACTGCTGGTGAGGTGGATAACTTCAAAGAGCCACGAGAACAAAGCATAGAACTTGTCACTTTAACTTTTTCACTGACTAATATTCAACACACACAAATATATATAGTCCTAAGATCATACCTTAACTACCAGGGTAAAAAGGAGGGATCAGAGTGTCCCAGGGACATTGCTTTCTTATCACCTATCATGTGAATTCTACCTGTATTCCTGGGCTGAAGGGCTGGACCACTTGATGACTTCCAGAGTTTTAGCAGTACAGGGTTTATGATGATTCTATAAAATGATGTCTGAAAAGTTGCCCAGAATATATTTTGTTACAAATTTGAAATAAAACAAATTTGATGTTATCCAGCTCTTTAGTCTTGCTTGACACCTTCATAATTGTTTCTGACTACAGAGGCTACTGCAGGCAGGTTATGGTTAATGCTCTTTATAGTATGTAAAATGCAGGTATTGAGCTTATTTTATTTTTTGAGATGGAGTTTCACTCTTGTTGCCCAGGCTGGAGTGTAATGACATGATCTCAGCTCACTGCAACCTCCACCTCCTGGGTTTAAGCAATTCTGCCTCAGCCTCCCAAGCAGCTGGGATTACAGGCATGCGCCACCACACCCAGCTAATTTTGTATTTTTAGTAGTCAGGGTTTCACCATGTTGGTCAGGCTACTCTCAAACTCTTGACCTCAGGGGACCTGCCCACCTTGGCCTCCCAAAGTGCTGGGATTACAGGCATGAGCCACTGTGTCCAGCTGGTATTGAGCTTATTTTTTAGCCTAAACAAGGCCTACTGCAACTAAGCAGGTACTCCCTTGCCCGTCTCATGTTCATTCTTACAGCCACCAGCACAAACCCCTAATTCCACCTAGAAGAAAAAGTAAGACAGCTTTTTAGGTCAGATTCACTTTTATAAGGTATTTAAGACTGAAATGCTTAGGCTGGTTGTGGTAGCTAGCCCATGCTTGTAATTCCAGAATTCTGGGAGGCCGAAGTAGTTGAAGCACTTGAGGCCAAGAGTTTGAGACCAGTCTGGCCAACATAGTGAAACGCCATCTCTACTTAAAAAAAAAAAAAACCCACAGCTGGGTATGGTGGCACAGGCCTGCAATCCCAGTTTAGGAGGCTGAGGCAGAATTGCTTGAACCTGGGAGATAGAGGTTGCAGTGAACCGAGATTGCACCATTGCATTCTAGCCTGGGCAACAAGAGTGAAACTATGTCTCAACAACAAGAGATGCTTTTATTTAAGAACCAACCTCTTACTCCAGAATATCACTGTCTTTATTATACCACCTCAGATTTATTTTGTGGTATAGTAATCAAAGAGGACCTGAGACATACTTAATTCTAATAATATTTTTTGGTCTAAAACCTAGATTCGGTGGATCTGGGAATCCATCTTTCTCCAGTGATTTTCCCAAGGAACAGGCAAACACAAAATTGCCCCTACCAGAAACCCCTCCTAATTAGGGTCTCAAAAATGTCCTTAGGGAAAAGCAAAATTGCTCTGGTGTTTCTGTCACCCGTACCCCCTATCCACCTCAGTACCTTTAGGAAGCTCTGGATGACATCTTACACAGTGGCACTGAGAGGGCTTTCCAACAAGGCTGTAGCTTTTATTTCTAGTCAGCTCAGGTGAGACCTGCTATCATTTAAGAGGTTTTAAATGTTTTTTATTTTTAGGAACCCTGTCTGTTCTGTGCGGAAAACAAACAGGGTTTGGCCCAGCCACCAATAACGCACATTCAGAGGAAAAGGTACTTGAGCCAGACCAGGCTGAGGACCTTACTCTTCTTGGCAGGGAAATCAGTGTCATAGGACACTTAAGACTTTTATTTTATTTATATATATATACACATACATACACACACACACACACATATATTTTGAGATGGAGTCTGGAGTATAGTGGCATGGTCTCAGTTCACTGTAACCTCTGTCTCCAGGGTTCAAGCGATTCCCCTGCCTCAGCCTCCCAAGGAGCTGGGATTACAGGTGCCTGCCACAACACCTGGCTAATTTTTGTATTTTTAGTAGAGATAGGGTTTTACCATGTTGGCCAGGCTGGACTTACCCTGACTTAAGGTGATCTACCCACCTTGGCCTCCCAAAATGGTGGGGTCACAAGCATGAACCATCACATGCACGGCCTCCTTATATGTATTAATATCTCATAACATCATGTTGTATATCTTAAACATACACTACGTTTACTTTAAAAACAGGAAAACATTTTGGATGATCACTGAGCACTTTGGGTAGGATCTGGGTTAGAAGTCCTAACTAGTGAAATGAGGTAAAGGGAAAAGAGTCCCATAATCTCCATTTGGCCTCTGGCTTCAGGGACATTGACAATGCTAGTTTTCAATCTTTGACTTTTTTTAAGACAGGGTCTTGCTTTGTCATCCATGCTGCCGTGCCATGGTGTGATCAGGGCTCACTACAACCACCACCTCCCAGGCTGAAATGACCTTCCCACCTTAGCCACCAGAGTAGCTGGGTACTATAGGCATGTGCCACCATGCCCAAATAACTTTGATTTTTAAATTTTTTTGTACAGACAGGGTTTCACCATGTTGCACAGGCTGGCCTCAAGTGATCCACCCACTTTGGCTTCCCAAAGTGTTGGGATTACAGATGTGAGCCAGCACGCCCAGCCCAGTCCCTGATTCTTCTTACTCTTTAAAGAGAGAGGCTGGGCGTGGTGGCTTACACCTGTGATCCCAGAACTTTGGGAAGTCATAGTAGGCGAATTACCTTAGGTCAGGAGTTTGAGATCAGCCTGGTCAGAACAATGAGAAATGTCTCTACTAAAAATACAAAAAGTAGTCGGGCGTGATGGTACACACCTGTAATCCTAGCTATTCAGGAGGCTAACGCAGGAGAATTGCTGTTCCAGTGAGTTGTGCCACTGCATTCCACACTGGGCAACAGAGGGAAACTCCATCTCAAGACAAAAAGAAAAAAAGAGACCAGAACTGCTTTGTTTTGTTTTGTTTTTGACATGGAGTCTTGCTCTGTCGCCAGGCTGGAGTCCAGTGGCATCATCTCAGCTCACAGCAATCTCCACTTCCCGGGTTAAGGCGACTCCCCTGCCTCAGCCTCCTGAGTAGCTGGGACTACACGCGTGCACCCCCATGCCTGGCTAATTTTTTGTATTTTAGTAGAGACAGGGTTTCACCATATTGGCCAGGATCGTCTCAATCTCCTGACCTCATAATCTATCCGCCTCGGCTTTCCAAAGTGCAGGGATTATAGGCATGGACCATTGTGCCCGGCTAGAACTGCTTTTAAAACAAAGCATTGTAGGGCTGGGCATGGTGGCTCACACCTGTAATTCTAGCATGTTGGGAAGCCTGAGGCAGGCAGATCACTTGAGATCAGGAGTTTGAAACCAGTCTGGCCAACATGGTGAAACCCTGTCTCTACCAAAAATACAAAAATTAGCAGGGCATGGTGGTGGGTGCCTGTAATTCCAGCTACTCCAGAGGTTAAGGCAGGAGAATTCCATGAATCCAGCAGGTGGAGGCTGCAGTAAGCCAAGATCACGCCATTGCACTCCCTGGGTGACAAGAGCAAAGCTCCGTCTCAAAAAACAACAAAAAACCCCAGAAACAATGCAACATTAATTTGAGTCAAGTCTTTCTATGTCCCTACAGGCAGTGGGACCAACGGGCAGCAGCAGAGATTTCAACTGCCTCTTCTCTCAATACTAGCTGAGAGTCCCTTTGAAATTAGAAGAGCTAGTTAAAATTCCACATAGAAGTCTGAAGGAGAGGAAAAGAAGTATCCCCAAACCCTGAAGTAAAATAATCCAGGCAAGTACCAGATCTGCGCAACCACAGACTTACGGGATAGAAACAAAGGCCACAGCCAGGTGCGGTGGCTCACACCTGTAATCCCAGCACTTTGGGAGGTCAAGGCAGGGGGATCACCTGAGGTCAGGAGCTTAAGACCAGCCTGGCCAACATGATGAAACCCTGTCTCTACTAAAAAAAAAAAAAAATAACAAAAATTAGCCGGGCCTAGTGGCAGCCGCCTGTAATCCCAGCTACTCAGGAGGCTCAGACAGGACAATCACTGGAACCTGGGAGGTGGAGGGTGCATGAGTTGAGATCGCACCATTGCACTCCAACCTGGGCAACAAGAGCAAAACTTTGCCTCAACAAAAAACAAAAACAAAGGCCACAAGGCAAGCCATGGTATATCTTTCTTTTATTTTCCATTAGGTTAAAGAACAAGCCAAATCATCTGCAAACGGGACTTCCCTTTCTGGTTTCAAATCTTAAAGGAATAGAAACTAATCACTCCTACGCAGTGCCAAAAAGATTATGGAGACCCAATCTGCTATAAACGGCACATTCACTACTATTAACTACTTTATTAGAAGGCTCACAATCTGTTTACTTACCTTCTGAAATGCTTTTTTTATAACATGGTCTCACTCTGTCACCCAGGCTGGAGTACGGTGGTATAGTCTCAGCTCACTGCAACCTCTACCTTCTAGGCTTAAGTGATTCTCCCACCTCAGGCTCTCAAGTAGCTAGGGCTACAGGCGTGAGACACCATACCTGGCCTGAAATGCTTAAAACTCCAGAATTATCTTGAGTTAGTCTTAGCAATAAAGACCAAGCAGGTAGAAGGTGAAGGGCTAACGGCCCACTACGCTTGGCACAAGACTCCATAACCAAAACCTTACACAAGATCATTCAGACATACAACTTAAAAACCTGCTTGAGGGGAAAGTTTTACTGATAGAAAAAAAGAATCTGTGCAGAGACCCATTCCCTTTGCTACATAGCTCAGGCATTTTATTTTACTATTAATTCAGAAGTGACAGAAGGGTCGAGTCTCTCCAGCTTTAGTTATCTTAGAAACATAAGATTGTCCAGTAGACAGCTTATAAATACCCAAGTCATTCCCAAGGCACCATGTCAAAGATACTCCGTACCCCTCCTCCAAAACAAAAGAAAATACAGAGATTAATACACTCCAGAGGAATACACGGTTTAGATTAGTTTGTGACTACTTAGCTGTCTCCTGTTTACACCATCAGAAAAGCTGATACAATAGCTGTTTTCCCAGAAGCCTTTTCCTGGTAGTCAAAACAGGAAGAGGCTTGTGGAGAACACCAGGGAGCAGTGCAGTGCACTCCCATTAGGCTACAGCACTTAAGGTTTTTAACAGAAAAAAACCCGAATGATTCAGTCTTTGGCATCTCCCACTCCATCTGCATTGATGGCAAACATAGCTTCAGCTTCAGGAAGACAGGGAGAGTCGTAGATTTTGCAGATTCTGGTTTCCCCTCTTCCTTTCCTCAGATACAATCTGACTCAAAGACACAGACCAAAGCATCAAGTTATTATAATTAAAGAATTACATTCCTATAAAAGAGCTGAAAATTTTTTAGACATATATTTGTCCTAGAAGAACACTGGGGATGTTTCTGTACTATTTTCCTTAATGCATTTCCAACCTGGCAGAATCCATTTTTGCCCTGGCCCCTCTTAAGTGGACTGTCCATACTGAAACAAACATTAAAAAAAGAAAAAATTTTTTTAAAGACAGTATCCCGTTCTTTGGCCCAGGCTGGAGTGCAGTGGGATGTGATCATAGCTCAATGCAGCCTTGAATTCCTGCGCTCAACTGATCCTCCCGCCTCACTCTCCTGGGTAGTTAAGACTACAGGCACACACCACCACACCTGCTAGTTTATTTTGTAGAGCTATTGGCCTCACTATGTTGCCCTCACTAGTCTGGAATTTCTGGCCTCAAGCTATCCTCTCACCTTGGCCTCCCAAAGTGTTGGGATTACCACTGTGAGCTACTGTGCCCAGCCCATTTTTTTAATAACCAGGGAGAGGCATATCAATTATTCAAATTCATTCTTACACATTTGTGGGTTTTTAATTCTTATATGAGCAAACATCTATACCAACCAAAGCATGTCCATTAGATTAGCAAGAGTTCCCAAGTGTCTATACAACAGAAGCTTTAACAGGGCTTAAATGAAAATGTTTTATCTTCATGTCTCCTTCACAGTTAACATGACATTCTGAAAAGAAGAATCAGTCCCTCACCTTACCTGGTTGTTGATGCATGGGCGATGATGTTTCCTCCAATAGGTTTTTTGGGATCGGCCGCAAACATGGCTGCTCCATCCACCTGGGCTACCACCTGATTAGTGATTACCACTGCTACACCAAACTGATGGAGAAAGGATAAATGTCAATTTTGTGGCTACAGACATTCCAAGAGCCTTAATGCTGCCACCACTTAACCCCACAAGGCAACAAATGACTAATGTTTCTCTTCCTCCTTTTCTTTCTTTCTCTTTTTTTAAAGACAGGGTTTCACCATGTTGGTCAGGCTGGTCTTGAACTCCTGACCTCAGGTGATCCGCCTGTCTTAGCCTCCAAAGTGCTTGGATTACAGGCGTGAGCCACCACGCCTGGCCGGTCCTCTTCCTCCTTTTTTTTTTTTTTTTTTTTTTTTGAGATGGAGTTTCGCTCTTGTTACCCAGGCTGGAGTGCAATGGCGTGATCACGGCTCACCGCAACCTCTGCCTCCTGGGTTCAGGCAATTCTCCTGCCTCAGCCTCCTGAGTAGCTGGGATTACAGGCACGCACCACCGTGCCCAGCTAATTTTTTGTATTTTTAGTAGAGACGGGGTTTCACCATGTTGACCAGGATGGTCTCGATCTCTTGACCTCGTGATCCACCCGCCTCGGCCTCCCAAAGTGCTGGGATTACAGGCTTGAGCCACCGCGCCCCCTCCTTTTCTAATAGAGCTTGATCATCTCAGGCACTGATGTCTTGGCCTCCTAGCAAGGCTCCTGGAATTCACAGCCACTGAAAGTAGGCATTCTCCGTCCCTATCCCAAAACTTACCTCATCAGCAAGTCGCAGAAGCATCCGCAGAAACCTGGCCAAGTGCATCTGCCTGGCTGAAAGCTCACCTCGACCCGAGTAGTCTGTTCTGTAAAGGGCGGTGGCACTGTCTACAATAAGCAGTGCATACCTACAGGAAACAAGGATTCTCTGAAGCCTCTTTCTGGCCTGTGTCAGGCAGATTCTCTCCCCTTCCTTACCACCCTAAAATGATATTCATAATTTTTCTTGTATATAGATGTTTTATTAAAATATTTGCACAGCACTAACAATTGAGACACCGTTTAACAAGATTTCCACAAAATTCAGGTAGATTATGGTTTCATTTTTAATAGTGGCTTGACCTAAACTACAAAGCAAGAGTGTAAAAACAGGAATTAAACTTAAACCTCCTCATTTATAATTAAAGCTACTATCTATCTGGCCAAATAGCCATTACAAGATCCAGGTAAGGACTCTAAGAACATATTTGGTGTCTTATACTGACCACATACCTAGATTCTACCATCATGGCTGATGCTTGATAAAGGAGCTGGGTCTGGTGGTCTGTGTTGAATGCTCGAGCATATGCTACATTATCCAGGACATCACTGCCAGACAGACCATACCTATAGGAGAGGAGAAAACACTTACAGTCTGCACACAGAACTCAGGCAGATGAACAATTCATCTCTGACACTTAAATTACCTGAACAGGGAGGGAAGAAGTGGTACTGACAGTAGTTTCAGGGTTAAAGAATGTAATTCCCTTTCTGTTAAGTTCAGGCAAACTAAAAGCAGAAAGATGATAGCATCCAATTACTCTGGAGCTCTATCTGGCAAGTCTTCAGGATAAATCAAATCTGTTCTTTGAGGGCCAGGTGCCTTGGCTCATGCCTATAATCCAAGCACTTTGGGAGGCCGAGGCAGGTGGATCACCTGAGGTCAGGAGTTTGAGACCAGCCTGGACAACATAGCAAAACTCAGTCTCTACTAAAATTATAAAAATTAGCTGGACGTGGTGGCGGTATGCACCTGTAATCTCAGCTACTCAGGAAGCTAAGGCAGGAAAATCATTGAACCCAGGAGGCGGTGGTTGCGGTGAGCCGAGATCACCCCATTGCACTCCAGACTGGACAAGAGAGCAAGACTCCGTCTCAAAAAATAAAAATAAAAACATAAGGACAGATCCAAGATGGCCGATTAGGAGCAGCTCAAGATTGCAGCTCTCAGCAAAAGCATGGAGGGTGAGTGGATGCTGCATTTCCAGACAAATTTTTATTGCCCACAAACCAGGAGATTCCCAGGCGGAGGAGCCCCACGGGTCACCAGCATGGCTGTTTTGGCTGGCGCAGCTGTTCTCCGTACAAAATACACAGGTCCAGGCACTGTTTTAGCTGGCGATTGGAGCTCGGGGAAGACAGAGTCGCCCATTCAACTGATAGAAAAGGGGACTGAAACAGGGAGCCAGGCCAGGAGATTCCTGGGCAAAAAAGTGCCATGAATCTCAGCCGCCGCAGTGGGTCACTGTGCGGGAAATCACGCAGATCCCAGCACCTTTTCAACAGGCGACTGGAACACCTGGGAGACAAAAAAAAAGCCCTGAGGCAGGGAGCCAGGTGATCAGGCTCAGCTGGTTCCACCCACACAAAAAAAACAGCAATCTGATACACTCTGGATTGAGTTTCACAGTAAGCACAGCTGAACCCAGGACGGTCCAGCTCTGTGGGGGAGGGGCGTCCACCATTACTGAGGCACGCCACTACGGAGGTAGTCTGCCATTATTGAGGCAGCCCGCCATTACAGAGAGAGTCCACTATTACAGAGGTGGGCCGCCATTGCCAAGGCAGTTCTAACTACACCCGTATAAACAGGACTGCAGGGAAGTTCACACGGCAGCTGGGCGGAGCCCACAGTAGCTCAGCAAAGCCTCTGCAGGCAGATGGTGACTAGGCTGCCTCCTCGCTGGGCAGGGCAGCCCTGAAAAAAGCCAGCAACACAACAGAAACTCATAAATAAAGCCCTAAATCCCTGGGACAGAGCACCTGGGGAAAAAAAGGGGGGGTTTATGAGTTCAGCTGCAGCAGACTTAAACATACCTGCCCAGCAACTCTGAATGAACAACAGAGCTCACAACTCAGCAGTTGAGTTCCTATAAAGGACAGACTGTCTCCTCAAGCAGCTCCCTGGCCCCCGTATATCTAAGGAGTCACCTCATAAAGGAGAGCTCAGACTGACATCAGGCAGGTACCCTTCAGGGACAAAGATAACAGAAGAAACTGGCAGCAACCCTCACTGTTCTGCAGCCGCTGCAGGTGATCCCCAGGCAAGCAGGATCTGGAGTGAACCTCGGCAGTCCTACAGCAGAGGGGCCTGACTGGTAGAAGGAAAACTAAGAAACAGAAAGAAATAACTTCATCATCAACGAACTGGACATCCACTCAGAGACCCAATCTGAAAGTCAAGAACTACAAAGACGACAGGTGGATAAATCCACAAAGATGGGAAGAAACCCGCACAAAAAGGATGAAAACACCTGAAATCAGAACACCTCTCCTCCTACAGGGGATCACAACTCCTCACCAGCAAGGGAACAAGGCTGGATGGAGAATGAGTGTAATGAATTGACAGAATCAGGCTTCAGAAGCTGGATAATAAGAAACTTCTCTGAGCTAAAAGAACCTGTTCTAACCCAATGCAAAGAAACTAAGAATTGAAGAAAGATTTGAGGAAATGCTAACGAAAATAGACAACTTAGAGAGGAATATAAGTGAATTAATGGAGCTGAAAAACACAACACGAGAACTTTGCAAAGCATACACAAGTTTCAACAGCCGAACTGACCAAGCAGAAGAAAGGATATCAGAGGTCGAAGATCAACTCAATGAAATAAAATGAGAAGGCAAGATTAGAGAAAAAGGGGTAAAACGGAATGAACAAAGTCTCCAAGAAATATGGGACTATGTGAAAAGACCTAGACTACATTTGATAGGTGTACCTAAATGTGACGGAGAGAATCAATCCAACCTGAAAAATACTCTTCAGGATATTATCCAGGAAAACTTCCCCAACCTAGCAAGGCAGGCCAATATTCAAGTCCAGGAAATACAGAGAACACCACAAAGATATGATCATCAGATTCACCAGGGTTGAAATGAAGGAGAAAAGGTTAAGGGCAGCCAGAGAGAAAGGTCAGGTTACCAACAAAGGGAAGCCCATCAGACTCACAGCAGATCTCTCAGCAGAAACCCTACAAGCCAGAAGAGAGTAGGGGCCAATATTCAACATCCTTAAGGAAAAGAATTTTCAACCCAGAATTTCATATCCGGCCAAATTAAGCTTCATAAGTGAAGGAAAAATAAAATCCTTTACAAACAAGCAAGTACTCAGACATTTCATCACCACCAGGCCTGCTTTACAAGAGCTCCTGAGAGAGGCACTAAACATAGAAAGGAACACCCAGTATCAGCCACTCCAAAAACATACCAAATGGTAAAGAACACCAACACAATGAAGAAACTGCATGAACTAACAGGCAAAACAGCCAGCTAGCATCAAAATGGCAGGATCAAATTCACACATAATGATATTAACCCTAAATGTAAATGGGCTAAATGCCCCAATCAAAAGACACAGACTGGCAAATTGGATAAAAAGCCAAAACCCATCAGTGTGCTGTATCCAGGAAACCCATCTCACATGCAAGGATACATAAAGGCTCAAAATAAAGGGATGGAGGAAGATTTACCAAGAAAATGAAGAGCAAAAAAGAAAGCAGGAGTTGCAATTCTCATCTCAGATAAAATAGACTTTTTAAACCAACAAAGATCAAGAGAGACAAAGAAGGACATTAATTACATAAGGTTAAAAGCATCAATGCAACAAGAAGAGCTAATGATCCTAAATATATATGCACCCAATACAGGAGCACCCAGATACATAAAGCAAGTTCTTAATGACTTACAAAGAGACTCAGACTCCCACACAATAATAGTGGGAGACTTTAACACCCCATTGTCAATATTAGACAGATCAATGAGACACAAAATTAACAAGGATATCCAGGACTTGAACTCAGACACGGACGAAGCAAACCTAATAGACATTTACAGAACTCTCCACCCCAAATCCACAGAATATACATTCTTCTCAGCACCACATCACACCTACTCTAAAACTGACCACATAATTGGAAGTAAATCACTCCTCAGCAAATGGAAAAGAATGGAAATTATAACAAACAGTCTCTCAGACCACAGTGCAATCAAGTTAGAACTCAAAATTCAGAAACTAACTCAGAACCACACAGCTTCATGGAAACTGAACAACTGGCTCTTGAATGTTGACTGGATAAACAATGAAATGAAGGCAGAAATAAAGATGTTCTTCGAAACCAATGAGAACGAAGACACAACATACCAGAATCTCTGGGACACATTTAAAGCAGTGTCTAGAGGAAAATATATAGCAATAAATGCCCTCAGGAGAAGCAAGGAAAGATCTAAAATCGACACCCTATCCTCAAAATTGAAAGAGCTAGAGGAGCAAGACCAAAAAAAAAACCTCAAAACCTAGCAGAAGACAAGAAATAACTAAGATCAGAGCAGAACTAAAGGAGACAGAGACACAAAAAACCCTTCAAAAAAAATCAATAAATCCAGGAGCTGGTTTTTCGAAAAGATCAACAAAATAGACCACTAGCCAGATTAATAAAAAAGAAGAGAGAATAATCAAATAGATGCAATAAAAAAATGATGAAGGGGATATCACCACAGATTCCTCAGAAATACAAACCATCATCAGAGATTATTACAAACATCTCTATGCACATAAACTAGTAAACGTGGAAGAAATGGATAAATTCCTGGACAATTGCCTCCTCCCAAGCCTAAACCAGGAAGAAGCTGAAACCCTGAATAGACCAATAACAACGTCTGAAGTTGAGGCAGCAATTAAGAGCCTACCACCCAAAAAAAGCCCAGGTCCAGATGGGTTCACAGCCGAATTCTACCAGACATAGAGGAGCTGGTACCATTCCTTCTAAAACTATTCCAAACAATCCAAAAAGATGGAATCCTTCCCAAATCATTTTATGAGACCAACATCATCCTGATACCAAAACCCGGCAGAGACTCAACAAGAAAAGAAAACTTCAGGCCAATATCCATGATGAACATAGATGCAAAAATCTTCAGCAAAATACAGGCAAACCAATTGCAACAACACATCAAAAAGCTTATCCACCATGATCAAGTAGGCTTTATCCCGGAGATGCAAGGCTGGTTCAACATATGCAAGTCTATAAACGTAATTCACCACATAAATAGCACCAAAGACAAAAACCACATGATCATCTCAATTGATGCAGAGAAGGCCTTTGACAAAATTCAATAGCCCTATATGCTAAAAACACTCAATAAACTAGATATTGATGGAACGTATCACAAAATAATAAAAGCTATTTACAACAAACCAACAGCCGATATCATACTGAATGGGCAAAAACTGGAAGCATTCCCTTTGAAATCTGACACTAGACAAGGATGCCCTCTCTCACCACTCCTATTCAATATACTATTGGAAGTTCTAGCCAGAGCAATTAGGCAAGAAAAAGAAATAAAGGGTATTC